TTTACTGTATTAGCAAGTATTGTAAATTGTTTGTTGTACAATAAAGTTAATTGTACTACAATTCGGTCATCGTTAGCATTTATTTAACAATCCAGCGATACGAGCCCGAGTATATTTGGGTAATCCCTCAAGGTTTCGAGGATAATCGTAACAATACGCTCAAATAAGACACATTTAAAGGGAAAATGAAATTTCGTTATGTTTCAGGTGTTAAGGGTGTTAATGGGTCGGAAAGAAAAGGTCTTTATGTTCTTTTAGTTCACAAGATTATAAGAGACTGTAGTGTAGATTTACAGCCTTATTCTGTATCACGAACGATAGGCAACACGAACGATTCGTCTGCAGAGGAATGCTTCAAAAATTAGCCCGGGGCATAATTTTAGTCGGTTTAAACGTCGGTAATGTATAAAAAGCAAGACGAAGACAATCGTTAGAGTTTAAAATCGCAATCAGAGAGGTTGTCGTCTGCAGACGAATCGTTCGTTTTGCCTATCGTTCGTGATACAGAACAAGGCCCTTAAACTGCTATATAGTTCATGAAACTTCATTTCTGGTTTTTGCTTTCGTTTGATAGGAACTGTAGAAAAAATTAAGTAAAAGTAAGAAAATTTTAACGTTTAGGGCCGGTTGATCATAGCCTGGTTGACACTAATCATCGGTTAACACGTTATCGACTTTTTCGACTCCATGCATACACACCCGATTTACATGATTCAAGTACTTGAAAGCAATTCTTGCTCATTCTCTTTTGTGTTTTCTATTTGTTTTTACACGCTTCAATTGTGTTGAACTCAAGTTTTTGGTTCTTTAAATGGGAAATAACGAAAATGTCAAAAGCAAAGCAAGAAAGTTGAAACGACTTGAAGTTCCAGTCTAAGCGTAACGGCAACGCTGGACGCAAGTTGTATTCAGAAGGTGATAGCAGTACCCTTTTATTTTTCTTCGCCTCACGGCTTCATATGCCAAATGACTGTTGTTGATTGGTTGGAGCTGTTGATTGTTTATTATTTTCTGTTCTCTTTCACACTCTTCGTATGATATTTTTGACAGTCCTCGCCGCAAAAGCAAAAACAAAATGCATGTACATTTAGTTATTGTCGTACCGATACCACCTTATTGAATACGCCCAAGGCGTATACACCACACCATACAAGGTGGTGGCAATTGCATATAAGTAAAAGTCCCGTGTATTTTGTTATTGCTTTTTGGTACAGGAGGATGCCAATACGAAAGGGAATAGGAGATAATTTTCGTCATTTCGTTTAGTTGACATCCTAAAGGTGCGCCACTTCGTCTTGGATGACATTCTCCTGTACTAGTGTAGAGACAAAAATATCCAATCAGCTGATCAATCAACACCACTTTGTTTGCGCCTTGAACACGCCTTGGCTGCACACAGCTGTAAATTAGAAAATAAGAGCAAGAATTTTACGGCGCGTTTACATTGGACAATGCTGTCCAGGCAATAAAGAAATACGTATTAGTGGTCAAAAACGCTGATAATTGTCTCCGTGGCGTAGGCGTTCTGACAATAGTTAAGACAATTCATTTTGAGCAAAATGTCGAACGTGAACGTTGAATTATAAGTTACAGAAATACGCATTTCGCACGAGTTATTTGAGGTAAAAACTAAAATATAAAAAAGAGACAAATTTACATACACACCAGCGTCTCTTTAATTATTATAGTTATTTTGTTATGAATTTATCTTCTTTTTTGCACAAGACGTCAAAATTATTGTATGCATACGTCAAATCATTGTCCGATTTACTGTCTTCAAAATAATCATGATCACGTGATTGAGCCAATTGAAAAAGTATTCAGGGTTACCACTAAAAAACTTTCTCTCCTACCAAGAGCTGGTTCAAAAACCTACCGAAATGGCTTTTTTCCTACCATTTAAGAAAACGGCGTTTGACGGCAGTAAATAAATTTTTTTGCTGGTTTTTACACTCAGGGCCGGTTACTCAATGTCTGGTTAACACTAATCTGCGGTTAAACATCGTTATCGACGTCTACGACTCCATGCATACAACAGGGAGTCGGTAACGTCGATAACTATGTTTAATCGGGGATTAGCGTTAACCTTTATAGATCACTCATTTATTATGAAGTATATACAGTCGCGTCAAAAATATGAATATCTTGACGTTTTGACGATTTTCTTCTTTTATATTTTCCATACCATTTTTTTTTATTTTGTTATAAAAATATAATTCCTTCTACAGAAAAACCAACAGAACCGATTTTTTCTATTTCATATAGAACTTGGAAAAATTCAAGAAATACTAAAAAATTTCCACCAAAATTTTATACTTTTCAATTCGATTTCTTAAATTGAGTACGCAGTTTTGTAGCCCACTCCATTTAAATAAAATAAGGCTAAACTTTCAAGTCTCTAAAAATTACCGTTAATTTTTGAGACTTTTTTGGCAAGGGTGTTTCGCATTTTTTATATGGAAGAAAATGCAACACCCTCGACAAAAAAAATCTCAAAAATCAACGATAATTTTTAAACTTGAAACTTGCTCCTTATTATATTAAAATTTAATAGGCTACAAATTTGCATACCCAGAATTTTTCTAAGAAATGCAATTGAAAAGTTGAAAATTTTTATGACAATTTTTTGGTAGTTCTTGAATTTTAACGAGTTATATATAAAATTGATTTTTCTGGTTTTTGCTGTTGAACTAACTATATTTTTATAAAAAAAGAAGAATAATTTGTTATGGAAAATATAAATAAAGAAACGTCTGGGTATTCATATATTTGACGCTGACTGTATATGTTCATAAATAAGTAAGGTAAAAATAAGCCTCACGGCTAGGCTTGCCAAATGTCCTAGGAGCCGCCGGGCTGGGGGAAAAATCTACGCGCTGCTGGTTTGCCATTAACTTCTTCGAGTTGCGGTTAAAAACTTTGAGATCCTCCGATTTACTGGAAACAATAAGTTGTTTTCTTTTTAATTTTCGTGTATGATAGGTTAGGTTAGGTTAGGTTGATGTGGCTGCCAGTGACACCACTAGCACACATAGGCCCTAGGTTGTGGGCCCGTTGTGATACCACGCGGATCGTTAGAACCCTCCTACTCAAACCATCATGTGGATTTTGCGAAACCCAGAAGTTGCCGTATGCCTACTTCGGCTATGTCGGTTAGGTCCTCAAAGAATCCTGAACCCATGAACTTTTGTCTTCTTCTACAAAGTGCGGGACAATCGCATAACAGGTGCCGCAAGGTTTCTGGCTCTTCTTCATTTCTGCAGCTTCTGCAGAACTCGTTATGGGGGATCCCTAACCTCTCCGCGTGCCCCCCGATAGCAACATGGCCTGTTAGCAGACCCACAGCTGCGGCTAGGTCTCCTTTGCTCAGCATGAGGAGATCCTTCGACCGCTTTTTGTCCCATTTAGGCCATGTAAGCTTCGTGTTGTTGCAAGTGGTGAGGCTATCCCACCTGTCCCTTGCTAGTTTAAGAGACAGATCCCTTAGAATGAGCTTGCAGGTAGCGAGCGGCATGCCTAATCCCTTCCAGGCCTGCGAAAGTGGAGCGGATGTGCCCTCTCTTGCAAGTTCGTCCGCCTTTTCGTTGCCTGGTATGTTCCGGTGCCCCGGAACCCATACCAAGTGAAGAGCAGACTGCTCAGCCATCTCGTTTAGAGATCTGCGACAGTCCGCTACGGTTTTTGAACTGCATGTGACCGAGTCGAGCGCTTTGAGTGCGGCCTGACTGTCTGAGTAGATGAAGATATCGTTATAAATGACTTCTCTTGTACGTAGGTGTTCAACCGCTTCCTGTATGGCAGCGACCTCAGCTTGAAAGACGCTGCAGTGGTTGGGTAAGCGAAAACATATTTCCAGCCCCAGTCGGGCCGAGAAGACCCCCCCTCCTACCTTGCCGTCTAGCTTAGAGCCATCGGTGTAGAGGTGGAGTGATCCATTGTCATCGGGAGCCCCTCCTGACCAGAATTTTCTATCTGGAATGGAAATCCTATACCTCTTTGTGAAGTTCAACCTTGGTGCACAGTAATCCGTGTCCGGTATATTTACGTCCTTTAAGATTGCGGTGTGGCCTTCCTGAGTGTCCCTCCAGCCTGGTAGTTCCCTCAACCTCAAGGCGGCACACCCCGCTGATTGCTTTCCAACAATTTCAATTGGTAAAATATCGAGGAGCACGCACATAGCCTCCGATGGAGTTGTGCGCAGGGCCCCACAGATGCAGAGCATCGCAGTTCTTTGCACCTTTTGGAGTGCTTCAGTTGTAGATTTCCTGTTGAGACTTGGCCACCATACCAAGACCCCATATAATAGAATCGGCCTAACAACTACCGTGTATAACCAATACATGATGCTAGGGGACAGCCCCCAGCTACGCCCAATCGCCCCCTTGCAGCTGTAGAGGGCTACCGTCGCTTTTTTAACACGCTCTTGTATATTTTGCGCCCAGTTAAGCTTTTTGTCCAGGACTACGCCTAGATATTTTGCAGACTCCCCTAGCTTCAGAATCTTATTGCCTATGGCAGGGAGCTGAAGTGAGGGGATTTTGTACTTCCTGGTAAAGAGCACCAGGTCCGTTTTTTCTGGGTTAACACCCAGACCTTTTTCCTTGGTCCATCTCTCGATTAACCTTAGTCTGTCCTGCATAATGTCACAAAGAGTTTGTGGAAATTTTCCACTCACAACCACCGCAAGGTCGTCAGCATACGCTATGACCTTGGAGCCTCCCCCCCCTTCCAGGGTCTGCAATAATTCATTAATCGCCATGACCCAAAGAAGGGGGGAGAGGACCCCACCCTGCGGGGTTCCCCTGCAAACGTATCTGTCCAGCGACACGCCCGCCAGTTCCGCCCGCACGACCCTGCCAACTAGCAGCTGTCGTATAAGCGACACCAGCCGTGAGTCGATGTCCAGACCAGTTAGAGCTGATGTGATTGCTTCAGGTGTGATGTTGTTGAAAGCACCCTCAATGTCTAAGAATGCTATCAAGGTGTATTCCTTTATCGCAAGGGATTTCTCAATATGCGACACGATTTCGTGTAGCGCTGTTTCGGTGGACTTCCCCTTCATATAGGCATGCTGCGAAGCCATAAGCTTGTCTGCAACCGATTCCCTAAGAAAGGATTCAATCAGTCGCTCCAATATCTTGAGCTGGAAAGATGATAGACTGATAGGTCTAAAATCCTTGGCGCGAGTATGGGATGTTTTTCCCGCTTTAGGAATGAAGACAACCTTTGACCTTTGCCAGGTCTCCGGAATGTAGTTGAGAGTGAGGACTCCCTTAAAAATAACATACAGCCATTTTGAGCTTAGCTCCATAGATTGCTGTAGCTGAATCGGTGTAACACCATCTGGACCCGCAGATTTGTAAGGCTTGAAGGACCCTATTGCCCACATCAGTTTTTCTTTGGTGATGAGGTCTACCGTAACCGGTTGACCTCTATTTCTTATTGGCCCGTTCAATGGCTGCTCGGTGGCGCCTGGAAAGTGCGTGCTCAGAAGATGGTCCAGGGATTCCTCCCCAGTTTCCGTCCACGCTCCGTCGGATCTTAGCAAGCATCCCGGGGCGATACGAGGTGAACTAGAGAGAACCTTCCTGAGCCTAGAACCTTCTGATACGGATTCCATACCACTGCAAAAGTTCCTCCATGAGGATCTCTTGCTCTTCCTTAGTAGTTTCTTGTAATCTTTCAAGTTTAACTTATAGATTTCCCATTGCGTATCGCCTCCCGAGGATTTTGCGAGATTGAAGGCTCTACGACAATTTTTGCGGGCCTCGTCAATCTCTGTACTCCACCAAGGTGGTTTCTTTTTGCCTCTCGGCTTTACCATGGGGCAGGCCTGATCCAGAGCCTTGCCACATGCCGCAGTAAAGCGATTTGCCAGCCTATCTAGGTCCCTAGAGTTTCCTGGAATTGCTAGTGTGGTTCTTGAGAGCCGTTTGTCAAGCTCTCTTCTGTACTTATGCCAGTCGGCTTTCCTTAGATTTCTTTTGGCAGGTACCTTGGACGGGACCCCGTCTAAGTCGAATTGGATGAAGCGATGATCAGAGAAGGAATGCTCATCAAGCACCCTCCAGTTCCTGATCATGACCTCCGCATCTTCTGAGACGAGGGTAACATCCAGGACCTCTCTTCTGCTCTTCGTTATGAAGGTAGGCTCGCTACCCCTATTACTTATAACTAAGTTAGATTTTAGTATGAATTCAAAGAGTGACTCACCCCGTTCATTGATGTCTCCACTTCCCCATGTGCTATGGTGTGCATTTGCATCACCTCCTAGAATCAGGGCCCCGTCCCAGCGCTCCACTAAATGTTCGACCGGTAGGGTTGGAACAGGCCTGTCATGTGCCAGATACATCGAGGCAAGCCTTATTTGTCGTCCGTTCGCCTCCAGACTGATGGTGGTGGTGTCCTCGTCACTGAACTGAGGAAGAAACAATATTTTTAGTTTGGTACTAACAAGGATGCAGGCCCTTGGTTTACCTATGGTAGCTCCACTTATCAAAGTGTGCTCTGCCGACTTCAGCCCGCATATTCCATGCCCTATCACCCAAGGCTCCTGGATGAGGGCGATGTCTGCTGCCCCCTTGGAGAGCTGGAGCAGCAGTGCAGCCGACGCTGCTTTGCTGTGGTGGAGATTAATCTGGAGGACGCGAACCATCTTGGCCGCACCTTCCCACCCCCTCCACCACTGTTGAGTTCGCCTCGTCGTCATCTGACATCAGCTCCTCTTCTGTGTATTGCCGGAAGATATGGTCGACTCCCAGAGAGGATGTAGATGAGGCGTATCCACCAGCCAGGTCATCCATCGGATTGGCCTGGTTGGATTCCTCGTCCACCTCATCCTCGCTGTTGTCTGCTTCCGGCTCAACTTCGTTGCCTCTTGCTGCGTTCACGTCGTTCGTGTACACCCTTATCTTTGCGGTGTCGAAACCGTAATTGATGACGCCCCCAGTCTTTTCGAGGAGTGGCAACGACTCCTTATTTAGCAAAAGGACCACCTGACGAGTCGCCTTTGTGCTATGCTCTAGCCGCACCACCTTCCAATTGTGAGAGGGTAACTCGGGATTAAAGAGCCTTATAATCTCAAGCACTCTCTCTGGTTCGGTCGGTTTGGCCGGTATCCATGCCCTTGCTCTGGGCCTGGATGGGATGTCCTTGAAGTCCACAGCCCGTAGCATCGCTCCGGGGTAGACCTCTCCCAGCATGGCCATCGCCTTCTTGTACATGCCCGCCGACCTTTCATCGTCGCACGCGACGATCTTGACGTTGCCTTGGAACCAACCTGCGTCCCGGCATATCGGAGGTGGTCCGGGGTGCTCCCGAAGCACGCTAACGCAGATGTTCGTCAATTCCGCTTTAACCCATTTCCAATGAGCTCTCAGAGCCAATTCGTCTTCCTGGTTCTCATCGAGCACACCCAGGAGGATCCGATTTTTGGCTACCTCAGCAAAGGTGAGGCCTTGCGTCCTGGCTCTCTTCGACTTGTTTTGCGCAACCTCTATCGATCTATTGCGCTTTTCCGCAGCTGGTGGCTCTCCGAGCACCGGCAGCTGATAGTCGGGTACTATCGTCATTACCCACGCTATCTCCGACCGGATCTCTTCCACGTGACAGGGCAGCGCCCTGCTACAAAGGTCCGGTGTTAATGCGGATCTCTTCAAGATCCTCATGGCAGCCTTCCTGTGCTTANATCGATCTATTGCGCTTTTCCGCAGCTGGTGGCTCTCCGAGCACCGGCAGCTGATAGTCGGGCACTATCGTCATTGCCCACGCTATCTCCGACCGGATCTCTTCCACGTGACAGGGCAGCGCCCTGCTACATAGGTCCGGGGTTAATGCGGATCTCTTCAAGATCCTCATGGCAGCCTTCCTGTGCTTAGCAATGGCTGCGCTTGGTGGTGGCCTGTCATCAGGCCTTGTGAATGCAGTAGGAGTAGGGGGAGGCGGGGCCCGCGTATCAGCTCTGGCGCCCCCTGGGGCTGCAAGCTGCAAGCCAGGTTTGCCTTCACTGGTGCCGGGAAAATCCCGTTTCGGTTCCCCCACCCTCTTCCTTTCCGCTTTTGTGGATACGCCTGACCCCGGCATCGCCAGAGGCTTACGTACCCCACTAGTGCTGGCCACGTCGTGGCTAGTAGAGGGACCCTGCATCGCATGGGCCCCATGGTGTCTGGGCAACTGCCCTTCCGACTTTTTATGAGTGCCGGTCTCAATTTCCGTTGTTGTTGATTTTAGTTTATTTTTTAAATCGCTCATATTCCCACGAGTCGCGGAGAAAGGGTTCGTCGGCCCCGGGCAGAGATCCGCAGTACCCAGGGTAAGGCCATCGAATGCAACCGGGTGCGGCCTGGTTCCCAGAGGGCTCCGTTAGCGACTGGGCTATTTAGGGGCTCCCAGCCAGGCTGATCCTCAGTACGGTACGCGTAACGCCTTGATCCAGCCCCTACCTCCAGACCACGATCAAAGACCATTTCCGTATGGCATAGCGATGAAAACGCATAAGCACACAGCACTGATCCCTGATCTTAGCTGGACACCCTCCCGACATCGCACGGGATTGCTCTGTAGTGCCCATTTCCAGCCGGCACCCTCGCGGAGGGTTCAGTCCGAGGATTTTCGCCGGCCATATATGATAAAAAATAACATATTCTGTAAACACGTACATTTGTAACATGCATTTGAATCACTCTTCTAGTGCCATTTAAAATATTTTAACAGCCTTGTCATTGTTGAATCTATTATCGATTCGAGACTGCATTTCAAAGAAAAATATCTGATCCATAAACCTGCCTTCACGTCCATCAATTCAATCATTTGATGTCCCTTTAGATACCCAGTGGATATAACTTTTTTTAGCGTATACGAAGTTCAGAGAATCGCCGAAGGTAATTGGTGAAATTCTGCCTATGCCAATAAGCAACAAGTTTTTTAAAGTATTTGGCAAACAGTTGGACCCACCCAAGAAACAGAATGAGGGTAAAACTGATATTGTCCCAATTCTCTCAGTGCTGACAAAGTGACACACTACAACAAACCAGAGATGTTTTCTGTTTTATGAGCAAAGAAACCTACCAAAATTTAGAGGCCTACCATCCTACCATCGAGAAAAAAACCTACCAAAAAACATTGATTTTTATTAATTTATATCTGCATCCCTACAATACAATTTTTATGCATACAAAGTCCATTAAGTACTCCAATAAAAATTTGGTGCTTTTTCCGAGAAAAAACGCGATTTTTCTTGGGTCTTAGTGCTTATTCAATTTCAAAACTTCACAACATAAATAATACATACTTTCACGCATGATACAAAAATTTGAAGGTAAAACCGCTGAGAGGCAGCCTGAACATTTTTGAAGTTTGCTAACATACAAAAATGTTTTCAAATTTTCAATCTCACAAATACATTCTCACTTTCAGTCTCAAAATTCGAACATTTTCATCTATTTGTTTTTCGTTTTACTTTTGTTTGGCATTTGAGTTGCTCTGAAAATTTCAATTTTATAAAGTAGACAAACTTCAAAAAATATATTATGGCCGACGAATTGAGCGAGCGGTTTTACCTTTAAATATTTGTATCAAGCTTTCACGGATGCCAACCAGCGTTGCCATTTTAGCCGTTTTCCGGCTAGATTTAGCCGGTTGCGACAGCAAACAGCCGGAAAAAATTCGATTTAGCCGGCAGCCGATTTGTTAGCCGTTTTGCAAAAAAAAAATTAGCCGTTTTAGCCGATTTTGCTCTTCGCCTTCTTTTATTAAAATTCAAATATACACGTTTTTATTTTTATAAATTTAGTGCTCCAAAATCTATTAGAAATGGCTAGTCTTACCTCTGAGAAAATTTTCTTGTCGGACTGTGTTATATAAAATTGAAAAACAATCAGAAAGTGAGCCGATTTCAATGTTTTTTGTTTTAAGCGAGTGACCCAAATACACATAAACTGGGACGCGTCATTTTAGCAGATTAAAAAGTTACAAGTTTTGCTGAAATTTTGCAGAATTTTCATAATTTTTACACTAAGTGTGAAATCTGTTTGTAGTATATGTTGTTTGTTAAGTAATGAGCTACATATTCATAAAAAATGATACATATTAAATAAACTAAAGAAAAATAGGCAAAACTTGCTTCAATTTTGCGTCCCAGTTTATATTTGGGAGAACGCAGCGGGAATTTTCTTCATATCGCTAGCTTAGAAATAAAAGTTGCTAAGTCCCATTTTAAAAATTTTACAGGAGAGGAAAAAATCTTCCTATAGCCATTTTCTTTAACTATTTCGCAAGACTTTGAATCAAACATTTTGCGCGTTTAAAGCAAAGCAAAACTCCATAAGAATCAGAAGTCGATATTTATTAAAAGATGATATTTATTAAAGAAGGTCGGATTTGTGTTGGAATAAAACAAATACCTTTATAATTTTCGAAACGATGCGTATTCAATTTCTTTAGCCTCCTATATCAAAATATGAGTTTTCATAAAAAGTGGACTTAGCAACTTTTCACTCTAAGCTAGCGATATAATTTTTGTTATGAATGTGTTAAATTTAAGTGTGAAGTTTTATTCGCTACACTTAGAAAATAAAAGAGCATGAATTTCGATGTAGAGTTTTCGGCTGCGTTTCTTTATACATTCCGGATAATCCCATTTCACAGCCGGAATAAACAGAATGCGTTTGAAATATACGTTAACATATCATCAGGAACGTTCTAAAGAATAAGTAAACAAAAAAGTTTATTCCGAACGTTCAGAATGAATAAAGAAATTCAGCCTTCATCTTATGTGGATCATGATTCAATAATACAAGGTTCGATAAACTGACAGTTGTCTCTCTCGCACCGCTCCCTTAGTAGTGGCACCGTGTTGCTTCTTTGCAAATTTACATGGAAACAGTGTAGCTTTGGTGTCAAATAAAAGTATAAGCTTTTGGGCAATATGTTTATTTGTATATGCATATGAAGCATATTTAACTGTTGAAAACATAAGCATTGGATGTTTACATCGATCTCATAGTAGTCTTATTTTAATTTTGAGTCATTTTGCAGTTTTTATACGGCTAAATAGCATATAAATTACGTAATTCACGAAGATATATCAATATTACGTTCAACATTTCGTTTAAAATGTGAGATTTCCTGAAAATACATTAGAATTTACGAAAGGAATTTCACTACTAATTGCTTTCTTTGCGTACTTTTCTACTACCATTTTCGCAACAAGGGATTGCATTCTTGCCCTTTCTCTGTCCTTCGTAAATGCAACCTTTTGTAAGGGAGTGTCAAACCGCAGCTGTCAATAATTATCTAACCTTGTATTATTGAATCATGACAAGGTGATATCAGTTGTGACAGCTCGATTTGACACTGCCTTAGCTAAGTAGAATAAGAAGAAAAAGGGGAAGAAATGAATCCCCATATGGGGGAAAAATATAAAATTTTACATTGGCTGCGTTTCTTTATACATTCCGGATAATCCCATTTCACAGCCGGAATAAACAGAATGCGTTTGAAATATACGTTAACATATCATCAGGAACGTTCTAAAGAATAAGTAAACAAAAAAGTTTATTCCGAACGTTCAGAATGAATAAAGAAATTCAGCCTTCATCTTATGTGGATCATGATTCAATAATACAAGGTTCGATAAACTGACAGTTGTCTCTCTCGCACCGCTCCCTTAGTAGTGGCACCGTGTTGCTTCTTTGCAAATTTACATGGAAACAGTGTAGCTTTGGTGTCAAATAAAAGTATAAGCTTTTGGGCAATATGTTTATTTGTATATGCATATGAAGCATATTTAACTGTTGAAAACATAAGCATTGGATGTTTACATCGATCTCATAGTAGTCTTATTTTAATTTTGAGTCATTTTGCAGTTTTTATACGGCTAAATAGCATATAAATTACGTAATTCACGTAGATATATCAATATTACGTTCAACATTTCGTTTAAAATGCCAGATTTCCTGCAAATACATTAGAATTTACGAAAGGAATTTCACTACTAATTGCCTACTTTGCGTACTTTTCTACTACCATTTTCGAAACAAGGGATTGCATTCTTGCCCTTTCTCTGTCCTTCGTAAATGCAACCTTTTGTAAGGGAGTGTCAAACCGCAGCTGTCAATAATTATCTAACCTTGTATTATTGAATCATGATGTGGATAATTCTTGTGAGAAATACATAGTTTCGTCAAGAATGATAGAATATCAAAATATCAAAATATGAGTTTTCATAAAAAGTGGACTTAGCAACTTTTCACTCTAAGCTAGCGATATAATTTTTGTTATGAATGTCTTAAATTTAAGTGTGAAGTTTTATTCGCTACACTTAGAAAATAAAAGAGCATGAATTTCGATGTGGAGCAAAACTCTCTGGGAAGACAATACATGGTGCAAACATACTTTTTAAATTTTATAAAATAAAACTGCAGTAGTTTTCATCTTAGGTGGATAATTCTTGTGTCAAATACATAGTTTCGTGCTTATATTTTTGTATATATATTTTTAGCAGCACCACATCTTTATCAGAAAATTCCGAGAATCCAAAAATTGGTACTGTTACAAGTCATTTTAACTCGTCCTCTTTCCTGTTCCACGGATAATGGTACATCTTTCAGAGGTTTAAAGATATTTTGCGTCAGCAATTTGATATCAACCTACGTACCCTACCTCGGAAAAGCAAAAAACTTTAAATTCGAACGTTTGCTCAGGTGTACCTAATTCTGGCAGTTTGGAAACGCGCAACACTTTTAATATTTTCATCCAACTTCACTAACTTCCAATCTTTTTTCTACTTTTTTAAGAAACAAAAATTTTTCTGCTAGTGAATCTGGTGGCATGATTTTAGTTAAATGTCATAAACTTGTTAAAAGTGAAGTGGTCGGCAACAACAACGAATGTCAATAAATTAAACTACCTTCTGCTTTCACAGCTTTACCTGTTCATTTCTCAAACTATTGCCCTCCGACTAAGCAAAAGTGCCATACCTTCAGCTAATATAGCCATTTTGTGGGACAAAAAGCAACCTACTGAAAATGATCCAATATGTATAAGAAGGCAAATTTGTTTAATAGAAAAGAAAACGCCATAAAATTGTAATTTATCTCTGTTTTTATATNTGCCATACTTTCAGCTAATATAGCCATTTTGCGGGACAAAAAGCAACCTACTGAAAATGATCCAATATTTATAAGAAGGCAAAATTGTTTAATAGAAAAGAAAATGCCATAAGATTGTAATTTATCTCTGTTTTTATATTTAAGTAATACAAACATGACTTCTGATGTAAAGCTTAGCTACGTATAACGACAGTTTCCTTTGTTAAACAAAAATAAAGTGGTGTACAGCTTAACTACGTATAAATAATCTTTATTAACCAAAAAAAAAATAAAAGGATTTACTAGTCTTTCTAATTGTAGTTTATTTATTTAGAAAAAATTTAATTCTGGTTGAAACATTTTAGCCGTTTTTTTGTCCAATCTAGCCGGTCGCCCTGAAAAGTTCTGGCAACACTGATGCCAACTATCCGTGGCCACCATGAACCAAAAATACAAGATCACGTAAGAACGCGACGTTGTATTTGTAACAGGTTTTGAGAAAAAAGTTTGCGAAAGCGGGTTCGTCAGCTGAGCGTTTGTTTACATCACAAGCACCACTATTTTACACTTTTATTTAAGTAAAGAAGAGTTAATTCAACATGACAACACATTTTCAAGCATTTTATTGCATCATTTTACCTAAATTGTGCGCTTAAAGTGGCTGACAATAATTTTGGCTAACTTTGGTTTTCGTTGTTTTCTTTGCTTTGTTTACTTTTCGCTTGTTTTCCAGTGAAACAAGATGGCGTAGAACCCGCTAAAAAAATCGACTTTTTTCACTCTCTTGTTCTTACGTGATCTTGTGTCTTTCGTTCATGCGTGGCCACTATGCAGCGAACAAAGATGGCGCCGTCAGTGGTACCGCTACTTTGGTTTTGCCAATTCTGACAGTTGTGGTAACTTGTAAATAAACCTTTGTTTACAAATCAGCGAAAGAGAAATTTTAATTATAAGTGAAAAATCAGTTTAAATTGTGTTAATTTGCAATTTGTGAGTGATTTTGAGTTGAGGACTGCGTAAAAACTAATACAATGAAGTGCTGTGTGTTAAATTGCGACAGCCGTCAAGATGCATGAAGCGTTCTGCAGTTTTCTGCAGCAGCCTTAATTGCAAAGCAATGGAGTGCACTAATATGTTCACTGTTCTCTAATAGATTAGGTGAAAAATGCAATATTTTCACATTTAGCAAAATTAAAACACGTT